GCCATGAACTCCTGGGCTCAAGTGATTCTCCCGCCCCGGGCCTCCCTTAGTGCTGGGATTACAGATGTGAGCCGCTGTACCTGGCTGAGTTAATGACTGTCTTTGTTATTGGCTAACTTCGTTGCATTTGAATTACCTGGTGAGTTGCTGTGTGAAACTCACTTTGCTTGTGCTTCACTTTGCCAGGCCTGCTCTCTGTGCTGTTGTTGTGATCTTTACCCTTAAGAGCTGAAGATGTTTAGTAGAACTATAGCTTAAAAGCCAAAAACACTTTAAAAATAATGAAAAATTTTTGCTTTTAAGGCTTCGAATGTTAAAAAAGAACTAATTAATTCTATTTTGAGGGAAGTTTTAGAGATAGAATTGGAATTCCTTCAAAGTTATTCCGAGGTTATGAAGTCTTTAAACCCATTAAAAATGAACCCTTTGGGGATGGGCATGGTGGTTTATGCCTGTAATCCCAGCACTTTGGGAGACTGAGGCAGGCAGATCACTTGAGGTCAGGGGTTCAAGACCAGTCGGGTCAACATGGTAAAACCTCGTCTCTACTAAAAATACAAAAATTAGCCGGCCATGGTGGGGCACACCTGCAATCCTAGCTACTAGGGAGACTGAAACAGGAGAATCACTTGAACCTGGGAGGCAGAGGTTGCAGTGAGCCAAGATCACACCACTGCACTCCAGCCTGGGTGACAGTGAGACATCATCTCAAAAATAAATAAAATAAAATAAAATAAAAAACAATAAGTAAAATAAGAATGAACCCTTTGGATTCTTTGGGTTGTGCATCAGAGACCCTCTGCTGTGGGGGTTCCTCTGTGTTGGAGGTGTGGCTCTGCAGACTCCATCTCCTGGCCTCACCATCTGCAACCCAGCATGACGGCAGCTTTCGAACTGGTTAGGCTTCCCTTTTGTTATTCTGTCATCTGTGCAGATGCTGCATAAATAATACTTTAAATACTTTAAATTAAATAGTATTTTAAATACTGCAAATATGATCACGTTAGTCCCCTGGTTAAAAGCCCTCCATGGTTCCGGGCAGGAGAAACTCCAGCTCCTAAGCATAGGCACGTCTCCTCCTCATGCCCACCTTTGACTCGCTAACTTCTGATTTTATTCTCCAAGAACACACTTAAGCTGCTTCATATCTCAGAGCCTTTCCCAGGCTCCTTGCTCTACTCTGCATGCACTTTTCACCTCTCAGCTTATTCAAGACTCAGCTGAGCTGGCATTTTCTTGGGAACGTCTTCTCGGACTTGGTGATTCGCACTTGTTATTGGCTTGTCCCTCACTGGTTGGCCTCCTGCTACCCTTTCCCGTTCTTGATGTGTTCTATATAGACTATTCAGTTTAGTCCCTTAAGCAGTGAGACTGCCTGGTCAACACCGAGGCTGGATCTTTCTTGCTTATGCACTCAGTAATCAGCACAGGTCCAGGCATCGAGTTGGTCTAAAAATTTAGTGTTGAAGTCACATTAAAAGAGAAGAAATAAAGCTTGAGCACTAGCCTTTGAATTATCTGGTAAATTTGTTTTCAGCAAAGGATTGTAGAATCTTAGATAGATTTAGATAAATGTATATACATCAGATCTTTATGGGTTTTCAAATCTTGCAGAAGCTTCCTCAGGGAACTCTTTTTTATGTCTTATAAATGCAATTGCCAAGGCTGTGGTAATGGCATCAGTTTGTTTTATATTCTTTTCACAAGTTCCTTTTGTAAAAAAATTCAGCATGTCATCAGTAGGAGTTTCATGTTTTGTCATTGTAACTTTATTGAACCAGATGACATCATAACTCATACACCTGCCATGTAGTGACCCAATATTCCTCAGCAGAATTTGATATTCATAAATGTAGGAAAAGGCTATCCCTTCTGATATGATTGGTTTCTTTACTAAAAAAAAAAGTAAGCCGTAAAAAGGGAGAATAATGCCTGAAGAGGATGTTGCCAGAAGGATAAAACAGAGGCGCTATTTATTTTCAGTCTATAAACACAATCACTTTCGGGGGATGAACGGGTAATGCTCTTACCTGGAACCTCATAAAACTCTGAATTCAGAATCTTGTCATTTTTTATGGCATTATGTGGCCATGTGACTTTAGTGTGGTTTAACTTTGGATGATTCATCTGCAGCAACAGTGAAAGGTCCCCAGAGCCTGATTCCTGGCTGGCAGCCTCCTCTTCATCACCTCTCCCTGGAGAACCAGGCTTGGGCAAAACACTTCCCTTCTCAGTGTTCCTTTCACTCCGTAGAATATAACTATTTTATTGTAGTTTTATTGAGTATCATGACATCACAGTTAATAAACCTGCCATGTAGTAACCAGATATGACTCAGAAAAAATATGATCTTGAAAACTATAAATTTACACTTTAACCTACCAGAATGTAAGATCTACAAGGCCAGGGAATGTTGTCTGTTTTGTCAAAATCAAGGTATCCTAAATACTTAACACAGTACCTGGTATGTGTAGTAGATGACCAGAAACATACCAGTTGGAAGGATGGGTAAACTTTCCTGGGTTTTGAAGTTCTTCTTATCAAAACATGGGTTGGTGCCGTTTGAATTTCCACGGTGTTTCATTTAAACTGTCTCCAAGTTTAAGTGGAAGGCTTCATTGCCGTTAAGGAAATTTTGAGCATTGGTCGTGTGAGGAGTATATTTTTGAAGCATGGTGCAATTAGTAAACTGCTCTATAACAGAACAGTTTTTAGAAATACCATGTGCCTTTGTGTGTGTGCGTTCTCAGTGTATGTGATAGAGGGGTCTCGGGGAAGGAGTTTTAAAAATCCTCTTTCCCATTTCACTTATGCTTCATTTTATGATACTCCTCTTTCTCTTTCCTTAGCCACGTGGAGCTGAGCCTTTTCTAGGACAGTTTTATCGCTTTGTTTTAGAAGTGGCCTTGTAGAGCTCACCCGCTGGGGCCTTGGGTCTCACTATTGTTGGAGTGACGAGGGGTTTATTTTCTGTTTTTTTTTTTTTTCTTTTTGGTTTGGGAGGTGGGGTCCACAGTGGGTAGACTCCTGGTCTCCTTCCTGGTATTTCTTAAGACCAAATTTGGACAGCCAAGAGAAAGGAATGAGTTGTGAGATTATTTAGAAACATTTCATACATTGTTAAATCCACAGAATGGATGTTTATTGAAGAGGAAGGTGAAGTGAGCTTGTACTGTGGTTCTGAATATCTATAAACCTTTCTGATCCACGTATTAAAATGTTTTAGATTTTGCTGGGAAATAGGGTGAAGTGCAGTTCTCCAAGGAGCAACTTCAATTTATAAATCTAGAGTTAGATAATTCATTGTTTTGTAGTTCATACTCACAGTTACCAAAGTTTGTCTTTCCCTGTTCCTTCCTCACCCGTGGTACATGGGTCAGAAGATTCGAGTTCCAGGCCCTGTCCTGGAGCCTGCTCAGAGGCTGACTGCGGCAGGTCACACTCAGTCCCTCTCACACCGTTCTTCTGCTCTGTCTGTGGAGTTGGTGATAACACTCTCCCCTTGGATTTGTTGTGTGACCTAAATCAGACCAGACATGAGGACAAACACTAAAATCTAAAATCATGCAGGGCAATCTTATCCTAAAGGTCACAAATCTCACTTTCTCTTCCCCTTGATGTGACGTATATCCACTCGAAAAATTAAAGTTACTTCTTGCTCTGGATGTTCCTTGTCTTCGTTATTTGAGCTTGTAGAAAGCTTGGGAGCAGATTTGTAGGGTATGTTTAGTAAGGACTCCATGACCTCCATTGTGTCTTATAGCCTCATTTCTCCATTTGTTTTCTGCCTCTTTCTTTGTTTCTCTTTGTTCTTCTTCCTAATTTACTTTGTCTGACTCTATTGTTTGTACCTTGACCTAAGCAGCCTTAAATACTTTTTGGAACAAGCCATTAGATGAAGAGCCAACCAAACAAGTAAATATTGTTGCACCAGTTGGCTTTCTTCTCTTTTGAGTTTTAGGGTAAGGATGAATGACAACTCTTCCTTGAGAGAGGTGTGGAATCTTCTGTGTCCTCCTCAAAGGCAACTCAATTGTGAAGAACAATCTGTTTCAAATGTCTGCTTCTAGGAAAGGGAAGGTGTTGAATTTTGTTAGCTAAATAATGTAAAATTCTTAGCTGATACTGTTCAGAATTGGGAGTTGCTAGACGAAATATGACCTGAGTTAAACAACTTTTACTTGTGTTGAAATTGACCATTTGTTTGTAAGAAACTTTATTTCAAGTTGGTACATACGCTGTCAGGGAGGTTTTAACTAAAGAATTTTATTGCTTTAAGACGGGTTCTCATGCAAATGTATTTTTCATCATCCTTTAGTGTGCCCTTGTTGGGGATAAAGTTCTTGATCATATCCAGCAATGAGAAAGAGGCACATGGTCCTGTGGGATTGATGTTAATATTTTGAGTATTGTCAATATTTTATCGCAGTTTTATTTGGTGTCATTTGTGGTAATGAATGTCCATCAGCTATTAAAGTGTGATTTCACTGTTGATTAACTTAGTGCTGATCAATCCTCTTCATGAAAAATTTTGTTAGTCCACATACCTGTTGTCTAAATGGAAAGCCTTCTAGTACAAGTGGATGATCTGCAAATGCGATTTAATTTATTTATACGTCTACAGAATATTATTGGTCAGAGAGTCAAGCCATATTTTTGTCTCTTGATCAGTGCCAAGCTTAAGTCTCTAAGGGAGGAATTTGTTTTCCTTGTCTACTTCTAGACTGAAAACACACTGGAAATTTAAATATATATGTCATTACGAGTTTTTCAGAGTGTTTGAACTTCTACTATGTCTGAATGGCCAATACAAGAATGTCAGCCAAGCCTAAATAGTTTAAATTCACCTCACAGTTGTGATACTTTTCTCATTTGGCTTTATGAATTTAATCTGTAGAGCCTGTGAGAGCATTTTGGTGAAAAAAAAAAGTTTCTAATATTTATAATGCTGAGCTAATAAATGTGTGATCTTACTCAATAACATTTATTTTCTTTTTCAGTTCTCTCGGGAGGACCATTGCCTCAAGGGCATGAATTTGAACTGTACGAAGTGAGATTTCACTGGGGAAGAGAAAACCAGCGTGGTTCTGAGCACACGGTTAATTTCAAAGCTTTTCCCATGGAGGTAAGAAGAATGAATCAGCTTGTAAAAATCTTGTTTTCTGAATAAAGTATTCAGTGATTTACTAAAATCAAAGTAGTGCATAGCCCTTGAATTTTATCAGTTTATGCTAAAATTTAGAAAGTGCTGGATGCAACGGAAGCCTAGCGCAGCATGTGAAGCTTCCTGTCTACTCTCATGGCATGCTGTGTGCGCATGAGCACGTGACCCGAAAGGCACTCTACAGTATTAATTTTCACCCTAGTGTTTCTAATCTGGTAAAAATTCTGCCTCTGCAGATTCAGTAGTTTACTTTTATAGATGTTGTGAATAAGTGACGAGCTGAAGACAGACACCGTTGGAGAAACCACAACAGTAATGAAAAGTCTAGGTTAGCAAGTTTAAAATCGTGGGTTGGTTTTATTCACTCCAAACCACTGGGGGAGGGAGAGGGAAAGAGATTTTTCAAGAGTGATTCTTTTGTCCAGAGAATTCCCACCCTGACTTATGTTCTTATTTAACTCCTGCTCTTTCTTTGATACCTGATTGAAATCTTAGGTCTTCTGTGGGACTTTTTCTAGTTGCCTTCCTAGGCAGAATTAATTTCTCTCTCTCTGTGCTCCCTGTATGCTTGTTAGGGCGCTGCCACAGTGCTGGCCCCATGGGTTGTACCATTTAGTATCCACAGCATCTTTCTCACTGTCTGTGAGCTCCTGGGGACCGGAGCTCCCTCTCACCCCATTTTTACTCCCATCATTTGCCCAGTGCCAGGCACAGTTGAGACAGACAGTTCACGCTGGTGAAAGGAGGGGATGTTGGGTTCAGTCCAGGCCTTGATGATATTTCTAGGAGGAACCTCAGTTTACCCCAGAAAATAACCCTTTGGTGGCATATAGGAGCATGTTTTGGGAGTTGCTGGACTGTGCCAGTCTTTTCTCTGACATTCCCAACTGTGCATGGGCTTAATATTAAATATAAAGTTGCTCATGATCAGATATGACATTCAGTGCCACTTCAATGGCTGGAAATCATGGTTGTATAATTTTATGTCAGTAATACATGTATTTTAGAGGATTCTGTTGAAGTGTTTCTCAGCATTACTTTAATTATAATTTTAAAAATATCTGGAAGCTCAGGATATCTCTTTCATTAGAAAAAGACCTGAACTTTGGAAGTGAACTGTTCCATGTTTTAAGGCTGGAGAGGAAAAAACCCAAACCAGTATTTTGAAGAGTGGAAGAGGCGTACAGTGATGTGGACAGTAAGGAGAAGCATCTTCTCAGAGGCATTGATGGTGAAGGCTTTCAGCACTTACCTCTCTAAGAGCTGTTTGCTCAGTGCTTACAGACATCCTCTCCTTGCTACTGCCTATGATGCTTCTGTGTCCCTTCTGGCTCCTGTCCCATTGTCGGCCAACCTGACAAGGAAAAATTCACACCAGAAGACATCAAAAAGGAAAGAAGACACAAAATCCAAGACAGTTAACACCACTGGGTGGTGGGGCACAAAGTGAGGGGCAGGACCACCCTAGACTGTCAGGGCCTTTGCCCTGCCTCATTATTTGGGTATGAAAAGCCACTGAGTGCATTTCATCTCAGCCCCCAAAGACGGACTGTAGTAAAAGTTCTGGGGAGAGGTAGCTGCAAATGGGGAGGCAAGAACCTCTGGATGAGAATTCCATGGTTTTGTTTGTGTCATGCAGAACTTACAGCCATGGGAAGTGTAATTAGCAAGCTGCGCTCTTTACTCTGTACTCAGATAGCATTTCCAGACCAAACGTCCAGATTGGGCTGGTTTCTTTGTGGGGTTTCAACAGCTCTGGTCCATTAAGCACAGGTAATGGTTTGTTTCGATGAAGATTAAATCCTGGTAGTGAGGCTTTGTTTCTGCAGAAATATTTATATTTAGGATAATGGAATTGCTGACTATGATTTTTCCAAAATACGTAGTTAATAATATTTATATTCTTTTTTATCCCAGATTACCCCTGATCCAATCCCAGAGAAAATACTTGAATCAGACATCCGATGTGTGCTTAGTGCTGTATCCTGTTGAGTGTGTAAATGCTATGGGTGTGCAGAATTAGAAGGAGATCTCTGCAAGCCAGAGTTATTTGTTTATTGATTTATTTTTGTGGAGACCTTGAAAACTGAGGTGGGTTTTGAGAAGGAGAGGGCTCTCGTGGTGTGGGAAAAGAGAGGAGAGAGGGTTTCCATGTGGAAGAATATCCTGGGAGTGGGGATGAGTTGGCTCATACACAGTTAGGTAGATAACTTACTACGGGTCCCCTGCTCGTGAACTGCCACCAAGGGCCACTTCAAGCATAGGGCATGGCCAGCAGCTCAGTGGAGAGTAAGACCAGATACCCTTTTGGGTACATGATATTTTTTCCAGTTTTTTTTTTTTTTGAGTTCACTTTCCATATTTTGCTTACATTTTAAGTCTGACTTTTTTTTCCCTCAGAATCACATATCTGTGCATCTACCTCTTTTTTGTTGATCTTATTGAAAATTAAATGACTGGCTTGTTAAACAGACACCATAAGCAAATACTCTATCTCTTACATGGAACACATAGGAATGGCCTTTTTTTTTTTTTTTTTTTTTTTGAGATGAAGTCTTGCTCTGTTGCCCACACTGGAGTGCAGTGGCTCGGTCTCACCTCACTGCAGCCTCCGCCTCCCAGTTTCAAGTGATTCTGTGCCTCAGCTTTCAGGGTAGCTGGGATTACAGGTGCCCACCACCATGCCCAGCTAATTTTTGTATTTTTAGTAGAGACGGGGTTCCATCATGTTGGCCAGGCTGGTCTTGAATTCCTGACTTTAGGCGATCTACCCACCTCGGCCTTCCAAAGTCCTAGGATTACAGGTGTGAGCCACCATGCCCGGCAGGAAGGGCTTTTAACAGAAATTCATCTACCTCACCTTTTAGAAATTATAAATATAACAACAGCTCTAAAGAGATTTTTGATACTTTCAGTAGTCAGAACTGACAGGAATTCAAAGATTAACCCAATTTGTTTCTCTAAACAGTTTAACTGCAGCTCTTCACTAAGCAAGATGTATAAGGTATGCCATTCGTGTTTTTCCATCTTGGGACTTGTAGGTTTCAGAAACACACATCCTTCTGCAGCCATCCAACACTGCTTACCATGCTCTCATCTGGTAAACCTGAATTCTATTGTGAATACTTCAGGTTTATGCTTAAATGACAGTGCCTTAATAAGAGAAAAATGTAATCTTGCTGCATTTTTCCTCCTGTTACCCGAAAGGGTTTCATTGTGTTTCCCAGGGTAGATTTGAGCTGGTCTCAAGGGATCCTCCTGCCTCAGCTTCCCGAGTAGCTGGGACTATAGGTGTGCACCACTGCGCCCAGTTCTAGCTGGAATCCTTTTACATGATGTGTGAGTGTTTTACATTGTGATATTCAATCAAGACATTAATGTGAGTATAAGATTTTTGATTTAAGACAAGTTTGAGGTCAACTAAAATTAATTATTATGTGTTTGTTCTTCTCATGGCTGTGGAAGGTCCTTATTTTCTTTGGATTTTGTTGGATGTCTTAGCTTGTGAAGTCCAACTTCAGTGCTATATGAATTATTTGCCATTTTGCTAACACACTGCTACACGCCATGCATTCAGCGTTCCACTGGAACTGTTTATTCCCTTCACATTAACTTTTGTTACAGATATCAGGCTCCTGGGTATTGAGGGTCACAGGTACACATTCTACTTTCAGGCTGTGTATTCTATTTGGGTCATTTGACTGTGGACACTGCCATCTTTGTTGCTTCAAAGTAGCCTAACTCTGTGGTCTGTATGATTTTTGGTAAATTACGGTGAATTTTTACACATGAATAGCTACTCTCATAATTCCAGGGAAGAAAGTGTCTCAGACAGTTAGATTTTATTCTGGATCAATAAAAATTTTTAAAAAAGTGATGGAGAGACCAACAGTGTGTCAAGTTTTAATTTTTCCAATTAAGAACATTACTCTCTGCTGTCCTCATCATTTTATAAAGAGAGAATCTTTAACAGCCAAAGTCATGGACCCATAAATTGAATAGATTTAGATTTCTAAAAACATATATTATTTCAATTTTTCTTGCATCACTACAGGTGAATGATAGTTTTGTCAGAGATAGGCACTGATCCAGCCCACAGACTAGCAGGAGATCGTGTATGGTGAGCCTGACTTTCTTGCCTTTTGAGCCTAAAAGTCTATAGTTTAAGAGTGAATTGCCAAGAAGGAGTTCCAACCATATTGAGGCTGGACACTTACCTTCCTTTATATTTTGTTTAAAGAGCAGCTGTTGCTCTGTGTATTCTGGGAGGACTTAGTGATGATTGTGCCACATACCAGCTGTTGAGAGAAAGTTGAGTGCATTAGTTAAATAGAGAAAAAAATTATTGTACAGAGCAGGATGCTTTAATTGTGAAGAGTCTAGGCCTTGGTTACAAAATAGACCAACAAAAATATTCTGAAGACTGTATCTCATAATATAGTGCTAATCCTTAATACTACATTTGGGCCCTGGACCAGGTCTTCAGATAGCCCATATTTCTTCTTTTTCCAGGCAAATGGTAGCATTTGGTAGTTAGTGTTTCTTAGTAACAGTGAATGGTCTTTAAGGTTGCTGCTTCCCAAGTCATTTGCATGCTCACCTCACAGAAAGATTTATTTTTATCCACTTACTTTACTATTCTAAGGAGATCCCAGGAAGAGTTTGCCGGGTTAATAGTGAAATCATGACATTTCAAGTTATTTTACTTTGAGGAACATCTCAACTGGAGCTTCATGTTTGTTGAACCTCTTCTAAAATAGGGACTTCCACTGATTTCCAGAGAAATGGAATGGGATGACTTTATTTGTGAGTGAACATTCTGAAGATTGGATAAAGAAATAGAGATTTAAAAGGAAATTTGGCGGTCATCTAGTCTAAACTCTTATGTAACATAGGAAAAAATCTATGCCTTATAGGCTGTGAAGTTTCAGTGGCTTTGTGACAACAGAGGAAGGGTGTGT